GGTCCCAGGTGGTAGAAAGAAAACAGAACCCAGGCTGGCTTGGTGACGTTTGCCCTCCAAGAAGCACGCTCTCACAGACGCTTTAAACTTCCCTTTATCTCACTCGCTTCTGTGGTCTCCTCCCATCACCATGACAACCCACATCCCATGATGAACAAAAAGAGTTTTTAACAAAGGAGACTGGAGCACAACTTGCCGATGTCTGTTTCCTTGGTGGGTTGTCAGTTCTGAAGATCCCTGAAATCTGCAAGTCTCTTGAGCTCATTGCAGCTCAAGACGAGATGCTTTAGGGCACAGTGGTGACGTGTGTGGTTCTGGAATCAGCCCTGCACTTTCTAACAGGGAAAGGAGTCCACCTAAAAGGGGTTTTGAGGCCACTGTTATGAGACGGGGGAGGGAAAAGGCCTCTGACAAAAGCCTAGAAAGTATAGATGGGGAAATACAGGTGATGCCGGAGTTTTCTAAAGCGGAGAGCTAGCCAGGATCGCCACAGAGTTCAAGTACATGTATACCTAGTCTGGGGCAAATAGAGTCACCTTCCTAATTCACACACACAGAGTGGAGAGAGGTGTTTTAACCCCCTTGCCCAACTGCAGAACTCACTGTAATGCTGTCTGAAGGTCTGATGTCCTTTTAGTGATATTCAAATAGGGTTTTTATCAGGCCTTTGAGAGCTTATGGCAACCAACTCACTGAGTATTCTTAAGTATTCTGGGCAGAAAAAAAGGATGCTTATTTTAGGCAACAGCTGAGCCAATTATTGATCTACCACCTACTATGTGCTGGGTGCGCGTATGGGTGAGAAGGGCCTCAGAGTGGACAGACAGGCCAAGTGTTGACCTCATAGAGCTCAGAGCCTACTGAGACGGAGGTAGAGGCCAGACAAGAAAATTGCAGTCGTCCTGGGGGTGGGGGGATACAGTGGGATGGTTAGAGACTGTCTCCAACAGCAAGAGGAGTAGACACTGGAGGAGGGGAGGAACAGTGAGCTAGGCAGAGGGAACAGCCAGTTCAAAGGCCCTGAGGCTGGATTGTTCTGGAGGGAGCTAAAGGGATGAGGGGAACCTTTTTCTCCCCTTGTTTCTTCTCTCTTTCATCTCCCTCTCCTCATCTCTCTCTCTCTCTCTGTTCCCTGTCCCCTTCCATCTCTCTCCCCTGAACGTTCACCCTCTTTTTGTTCCTCTCCCACCGTCTCCCTGTCTTCCACTCTGCTGTGACTGGCCATAAACCAAAAGGCAGTATAGAATAGTGGTTAAGAGCTCAGACTTCGGTGCCATATAACCGGGCTCTGCCACTTCCTGGCTGTGTGTCCTTAGGCAAGTTACTTAACCTCTCTGTGCTGATAATAATAGTAACCTGCATCAGGGCTGTCATGGGGATTAAATTGAGATGCGATATGTAAAGCACTTAGAACAATGCCTGGCACACATGAGCATCAGTAAGTGGTGACGATTATTATTATTATCACTTAATGTCTCTTTTTCTTTCATCTCTCTTGACTGTCACCCTCTCCCTGTCCTCTCATTTTTCTCTCCCCTCATTTCTGTCCTGACATCCATCTTACCCCCACGCTCCTTCTCTCTCTTCCCATCTCTCTTCTCCATCTCTTTACCCCCACCCTATGTCTTTCTTCCTCTCCCCCTATATCTTGACCTCCTCCTCTTTCTCACCCTGCCCTCCCCCCCCCTTCTCCTCCACCCTGCCTTGTCACATTCCAGACTCTCAGAAGACTCTCAGTCCTCGCTCCTCTCCAAACCTGTCAGCAGCCTGTTTCAGAACTGGCCCAAACCACCTCTGCCGCCACTCCCCACAGGAACCGGGGTCCCCCCTTCAGCTGCTGCGGCCCCAGGGGCCACCTCACCCTCAGCCTCCTCCTCCACGTCCACCCGCCACCTCCAGGGTGTGGAATTCGAGATGCGGCCACCTCTGCTCCGCCGGGCTCCCAGCCCCTCGCTGCTGCCCACGTCGGAGCACAAGGTCAGCCCTGCACCCCGGCCCTCGTCCCTGCCCATCCTGCCTTCGGGACCCCTCTATCCGGGCCTCTTTGACATCCGCAGCTCTCCCACTGGAGGGGCAGGGGGCTCGGCTGACCCCTTCGCCCCTGTGTTTGTGCCACCGCACCCGGGGATGTCCGGGGGGCTTGGCGGAGCCTTGTCAGGGGCCTCCCGCTCCCTCTCACCAACCCGCCTGCTTTCGCTGCCCCCGGACAAGCCCTTCGGCGCTAAACCTCTGGGGTTCTGGACCAAGTTCGATGTGGCTGATTGGCTCGAGTGGCTGGGCTTGGCTGAGCACCGAGCCCGGTTCCTGGACCACGAGATTGATGGCTCGCACCTGCCCGCCTTGACCAAGGAGGACTACGTCGATCTGGGTGTGACCAGGGTGGGCCACCGCATGAACATCGACCGGGCTCTCAAATTTTTCCTGGAGAGGTGATGGCTGGCTCGGACGGACCAGCCCGTCCACAGAACCCTCGAGCCCACTGGCCTTTGGACCTCTGACCCCTGACCGTTATTCTCTCCCTGGGCCAGGGACTCTGCTACAACTGTGCCCTGCCCTCATCTCCCGAGGCTGGAGGTCACCAGGTGGCCTGATTCCAGCCAGACATTTGCACCTCACAGGAGGGGCAGCTACTAAGAGAGAGACTGTGTGTGTGAAGTGGGGAGCGGAGGGGGTGGGGATGGAAGAAATCACACAGGGGGGTAGAGAAGGAGGGAAGGGTCGATTCTGGGGAGTGGGGGGACAGACAGAGCCATAGAGGGCCAGCCCTGAGCCTGACTGGATGGGGGTCATCCCCCCAGGCCGCAGGGGAAGGGGGTGCCCTCAGATTCCACCACCTGCCACCCCTCTAATAACCCTTTCCCCCCTCTCCAGGCCCCTCTGTTCTCCCGCCTTCACCTCTCCCTAGCACACACAGCAGCCCCCCCCCCCCGGCCTCTTGCACGCCTCCTTTGCACGCCTGCTTGCCTCTGTCCCCACCCTGGGCTACAATTTTGCACAAATTTGCCCTCTCGCTGTCTTGCACACTCCGCCTTTGCTTCCGTCCCCCAAGGCCCTCATCTGTTTCCCTTGCACACATTGCATTTCTTTTCCCACACTCCACACGCCCTGCTCTCTCCAACTCTGGCTTGCACGCTCCTCCCTTGGCGCCCTCCCTGCTGCACCTCACTTCTGAAGATCTCTGGGCCCTTGCTGCAGACACACTTGGGACACCCTTCCCCTCACCATTCACAGGCTCCATGCACACATCTACTCTCTGAAACACCCTTCTCTTTATTCAGCTCTTGCACACTTGCTGTCCCGTGCACCTCCCCTGACACGCTTGCCTCCATTTTCTTTAAGCACTTTCCCCTCTTGAACCCCCACATTCTTACTCTACCCACCTCTGCCCATCACCGTGACACCTCAGATCCCCTTGCCCCGCCCCCTCTTGCACTGTCACTTCTCGCACAGCTTGCACACGTGCTTCCCAGGCACTGTTTCTCAAGTGCTCATTCCTCTCCTCTGCCAGGCTTCCGCTCTCCTGCTCTCTCCTTTTCCAAATCTTTGTCCATCTCTGTTGACTCTCGTGGACTTCCTTGCACACGCTCGTACACTCTCCCTGCACCTCGCTGCTCTTCTGAAGCTCCTTTCTGTTCTTTGGCGATGCCCTTGCACACCGTGGCTTTGCTGCATTCTCACGCGTGAGTCGCGACTTGTTTTTGTCTGGTGACTTTCTCCATCTCCCTGGGGAACACTTCTGCCTCGTGCCTTTTGCACACTCGTCTCACTCCACACTCTCGGCCTGTGTTATGGTTTCTTTTTCCTGGCAGCTCTGTTATTTGTCCCAGGGAAGGCACCGCTCCTGCGGCCATTCTCACTCCGCCTGTCCTCGTCTGTCTGTTCTTTCTGGCACGAGAAGACCCTGTGCACATCCACTTCTTGCTCACCATGCTTCCTCTTCTCCCGGCTCCAGTCTTCGCCCTCTGGCACATCCTCCCTCCTCTCTTCCCAGTCCTTCCTGGGCCATCTGTCTTTCCATTTTGCACGAAGACCCTTCCCTTCAACCCTTTCCTCTCTCCAAGAAACCCCTTCTCCCTCTGGCATGGCTGTTGCTTCCTGCACGCTTCCTCCCCTCCCTTTGTTCCTGGGGCTTGGGAATTTTAAACCACCCCTTCCCCTGGGAAGCCCCCTCCCCTACTGTGGGTAAAGGGGGGAGGGCAATGCCCTCAGGTCCCCCCATGTTCAGCTGCCAAAGAAGGGAGCTCCCCCTCCTTCCCCCAAGCCCTTTCCCCCTCTGCTGCCCCCCACCCTCGAGGGGAGGGGCTCCGTCCATGGGGGGAGGGTGCTTGCAGCCCTCTCCCCTCACCACGTCAGGGATCTGCGGGGAACCTTGTGGGAGGGTCGTGGGAGGGGGGAGGGGTAGCAAGGAGGGGGCAGAGGTCGTGCCGGGCCCCTACCCGCCCCCTCCCCCTTGTCGGATGCCCCCGTCCGCAGGGGGCCTGCGCGGCGCCTGTCTATCAAGGGCTTGTTCATTCTGGATGGGTGCCGCGGGGTTGGGGAGGGTGTAGGGGGTGGGGAGGGGGGAGGAGAGGCTGGGGTGGGGAGGGGGAAGGGACTGGATGGGGGTGCAGCGTGGGGTGGAGAGGTGAGACAAAGCAAAAAGTTACAATAACAAAAGAAAATACGAAAAAAGAACCCTAGAACACACAAAAAAAAATCCAGAAAAAAACCTGAAATCAAAGCCCGGAGAACTGTCTTCCAAGGGGGGTGGGAAGAGGAAGAGAAGGGGGCGGATCAGGACGTCTGGTTCTCGCTGAGACAGGGATCTGCACGCGTTGAAAGCCCGGCGCCCAGGTCTTCCCTCTCGCGGGCCTCAGTTCATCCCTCAAGGGATTGGGACCCAGGCGTCCATCTGCAGGGACTGGGGAAGACTAGGAAGGCGGGATTATATTATGGGGGTTCGTCCCTACCCCCCATCATCTGCCCTGACTACCCACCAAGATTTTGCAGAGAGAAATGGCTTTTGTACCAGGTCATTCTTTATAATTAAACTCACAGTATCCACCCCCTCGAGCCGGCCCCGCCTCCTTCCTGGGGAGGCCTTGCCCCCTTCCTCGGGGGATCCGGGTGAGTCGCCCGAACCAGCTGGGCGGTGCGCAAGCGCAGCCGGGGCCCGTCCCCACTTGTCAGTCTTCCTCGGTCGGCTCCGCCCCCAGAGCCTCGAGCATGCGCCGTCGGACCAGGGAGCGGCGCAGGTGCAGGCGGTAATCGCTCAGCAGCAGTTCGTCGTGGCGCACGAGCGGGTGCGCGAACCCGCGGAGCCAGAGCCCCGAGCGCAGCAGGCGCGAGCGGGTCTGGAAGTCCGTGACGGTGATGAGCCACCTGAGGGGGCGGGGCCAAGAGGAGAAGGGCAAGGGTGGAGATGGAAGGGCAGTCGCCGGTGGTCCCAGCCCCACCTCTGATCGTCGAAACGTCCCTGCCTGGTCCCTGTTCGTTTACCGACTCCGGCCCCTCAACCTGTCGCTCCGTCCCTAAACCCCTCTCCAGCCCTGTCTTCTCGACGCAGTCCACCTGTACTGCCACCCTCACCTGGGCCATCCTTGGCCCAGTCCTCGCTGTCAGCCTGGTTTGTTCCTCGAATCGCGGTCTATGGAGATTACACGCTTTCAAAGCGCCGCACCAGGGCTGGACCTGCACCCAGCAACTTCAGACCCCGCCCCTGGGTCCAGCCCCACCCTTTTAGTGTGGCTCTCCGGCCCGGGCCTTGATCGGAGTCCCTCCTGGCCCCCCTCAAAGTAGACGCCAATCACTCTGCGCTGCGCTCAGTCCAGGCTCCGCCCCCACACCTCGGTCTTGACGGTCCCCGCCATCCCCTGAGCCATTCAGAGTCCGTTCACTCCAGCTCCCGCCTTCTCTCTGGTCTCACCTGGCCCTGCCCCCGCGCCGCGCTCACTCTCGGCCCCGCCCCGTCCCAGTTCCATAAACTCGCCCTTCTGGAGTCACTCCAGGCTCCGCCCCCCACTACCCTAACTTCCCAGATCCGCCCAATCGCCCCCTCCGCCCGGACTCGGTTCCTAATCCCGCTCTCACTGGACCCCACCCCTCACCGCCTCCGCCCCGCCCTTCCAGTTCCCCAGGCTCCGCCCCTCAATGTCCCTCTAGGGGCCGCCCCACCCCCGCCGCGGGCTCACCGGTTCCTGCGCCCCGCAGTCCCACAGATGACGTTCATGTTCTCAAAGCGGATGCTGCTCACGCGGCCGCTCTGCATGGCCCCGGGTAATTCGGCCTCCAGCGCCTGCAGCACCTCCAGGTGGGTAAGGTCCTCCTCAGTCTGAGGGAGTCGGAGAGGGAGCCTCAGCCGGTGACACCGGGTTCACTCCGGGTTCAGAAGTCCCCACCCTGCACCCCATCTGCAGAACTTGCCAGAGTCCCAGGTGGCAAATGAGGGGCAAGCATCACACCTAATCAAAGGGTCCTGTCCCTCTTGTCAGAGGCGGGAGGACAGGCATCTCTCAGGGAGAAAAGCATCTATTGTCATTCAAGGTCATTCTCCAAAACATCAGTTCTCACCAAGCTGATTTGTCGAAAGCCAACGAACAGTTGGCTGAGTGATTCACCAACTTGGCCAACTTGACCAAATCTACTGAAAACTTTTCCAGCAACCTGCATTGGATGGCAAGCTTTTAGCAGCTCTTGAAGATTTCCTCAAGGATTTGAGTCGTACCCTTTTCTTTTTATATTCATACAAGCATTTTAAGGAAGGTTCAGTTGTCAAAAACTACGGGTCATAGAGGGTTTTGACTTCCTGTGAATGTTTAACATTCAGAAACATTCAGCACTATCACATTTTCATCATGCCATTGTCATAGAATATAAAATTGCCGAGGGACTAAAATGAAATCCAGAAATTGGTCTCCTCCAGGAAGGCAAGCCTTGGGTGTGTGGGGGAAGGGGTGGGGCTCCGCATTCAAAGCCACGAAGAAGAGGATCATTGGGGTGGGGATTCATCCCTAAAACAAGGACAGCAATCCTTGTGTTGGGGTCAAGTCACCCAGGTCAGCGGAGGGAGAGCCTCTGAGCCCTGTGGCCGGTACACAGTAAATGTCCCATGAATATCTACTCTTCTCACTTAACTTTTTTTTTTTTTTTTATCCTCACTCGAGGACATTTTTCCATTTTTTGTTCAGGTAGAGCGGGAGGGAGAGAGAGGAACAGAGAGAGAGAGAGAAACATCGACGTGAAAGGAACACATCGAGCGGCTGCCACCCGCACAACCAACCAGGGTCGGGGACAAACTGCAACCGAGGTACATGCCTTAGCGGGAATCGAACCCGGGTCTCTCAGGACCGCAGGCCGACGCTTAAACCGCTGAGCCAAACCGGCCAGGGCTTCTCTCTTAACTTTTGCACAAGTGGGACCCTAATAGATATCTCCTCTGACTGAGGTCAGGGATTGCCAAAGGATTTGTACACTGAATAACGAGTTTGGTAAATCTATTAAAAACATGAACTTTTTTCTTATATTTTTGCTAAATCTGTGAACTTGACAGAATTTCATAGCAGGCCTCTTTAGCCTCAGTCTTCCCTCTCTCTGCCTTTCAATCTCTTCCCTTCTCTGCCCCTTGTTCTCCCTTCCCTCTGCCCCACTGGAATCAGCAGGAATACATTTGACAACTGACTCTTTGACATATTCACAATCAATTTTTAGCAACGTGTACTGGTGCCAAGCCCACAGGTGGTAAGCCCCAGAGCCTGGATTCAGACTCTGTCCACCTGGCTCTGTGCCCATGTCCCTTCCACCACCCTGCCCAATGCCACAAGGGCTTGGGACCACTCACCGAGGTCTCCATGCACAGGCAGAGGGGCTGGGCCGTGGGTGGTGTGGGGAACTTCCGGATGCACGGGAGCTCTCGGTCCAGTGCCTCATATTCTGCAATGACCTGGTGCAGGTACTGCTTCCTGGGGGAGAGAGCAAGTGGGCAAGGACCTCCAAGGCTAGGGGTCACTGTCATCACACTCCAGGGAGCTGAAGTCAGGAATCATGGGGCCGGGGACTACCTACGAGGATTTGGTGGGCCTGCCCAGGCTCCAAGCTTGTGTCTCTTCTGAGTTCTCAAGGTCCACAAGGAGGGCTCCTGGGGATGGAGAAGCCAGTGTCAGCTGCCCTGAGCACTCCTCACACATTATTCCGCTTAAATGGGCATCGCCGAGTGCTGCCCATGCCATCCCCAGAATAGCTCTTGTTATTAAGCTACTGTCTCTCAGCTCCAAGCTCCACCCTTCCACACCAGGCTCTACCAAATTCATTTCGGCTCTGACAGCTGGGTTCCTACTAGAGTCCTGTTAGGCTCTACCTAAAGGTGGCCCTAGAGGGAGACTGCAAGGCAGGAGGAAGAGAAAGGGACGTGGCCCTTTTTTGCTTCCCATTGCAGTCATCCCAGCCTTGCTTCTTCACAATGTCAGTTCACTCCAGCAGCAGCATTTGAATCCAGTTTGAGATTTTTCCAACACTCCCAGAAACAGCCTCCGGACTAGAACTTGAGACTGATAACAGCTCTTAAATCTGGGCCCTTCTAGACAACCCCACAGTCGGCTAACTGGCTCTTTATGGCCAGCTGCTAGTTGTCTTACATACTCTATTTCTCCCTTCCTCTACAATCCTAGAGTTTTTGCTGCACATGGTCACCTGGCTAAAGACAACAGCCCCCAGGCTCCTTTGCAGCTAGGTGTGGCATGTGACCAAGTTCTCACCCACAGTGTTAGAGGGAGTGAGGGTGCATCTTTGGAGTCATTTGCTTAAAAGAAGATTGTTTGTCTAGACTGGTTGCTCCTTCCCTTCAACCAGAATGTTGATGTGGCCATAAGTCAGCTTCAACCATGCTAAAGATGGTGGAGCCACAATACAGAGGGAACATGGGTCCCTGAGTCATCCCAGAGTGAGATGTCCCACCGATCTGAAACACCTGCTTCCTATTATACAAGACAGAAATACACTGTCTCCTTAAAGCCATTGTGTTTGGGAGTCCCTTTGTTACAGCAGCTGAACAAAGCAGAATGCAGGGCCTAACAGCCAGGAGCTGGCCTGGCGTCCCAGGCAGGCCCTGGTGCTCTCCTGTTGACATACACAATTTCACAGAACACCACCATCAGCCAAGACCACTCTGTGACCACAATGGACCAGGATCAAAATAAGACCACTTCTGAATCATGTCTCGACACAACAAAATGTGAACACGGCCCACAACACAAAAATGACCTAACATCCCCCTCTTGGCTCAGATTCTGCTTCTTTTCCAATCAGAGCGTTAGTTCCATTCATTCCTCCTTCCTTGGGGACTTGCCTCCACTTTCTGCCAGCATCTGATCCGGAGGGAAACCCTGCTTCCCTAAGCCCTGCCAAAGTCACCTAACCCAGCCCAGCTCCTCTAAGTCCTCTTTGACACCCCTTATGCAGATGTTTCTACCATCTCCTTCATTACAAGTCAATAAATTCAGTGTGTGCCTCTCTCTCATTCTCTCTCTTTCTCTCTCTCTCTCTCTCTCTCTCTCTCTCTTTCTCTCTCTCTTTCCCTATCTCTCTCTCTCTCACACACACACCCACACACACAGATTGTAGCATTTGCCAGTTTCAAGGTGTCAATACTCACACCATGACCAATTTCATGCTACCCACAGTTTTAACAACCAGTTTGCAAAACTCAACAATGGGTTCTTGTGAGCCAGTACAGCTGTACCCTGGCACTCAATTATGTCACAACTGTGCTCCTGGTGGTCTTTGACTTCAGGGCATTGACAAAGCTTAGCTTGTACCCTAGTAAGTCTACCTCTCTGCTCCCTGTCCTCCCACCTCCCACACGTCCCACTGGGCAGCTGAGGTGATTTTTACTTCTGAGCATCCCATGCTTACAAACCATCAGAGGCTTCCTTTTGCCTTCAGGATCAAGTCCCGTTGTTTAAAATACAGCATTTCAGGGTCTACTCCAGACCTACCAGATCAGAATCTGCATTTGAACAAGATCCCCTTTGAGAAGCACCTGCCCTGTGTGTGGTCACCCCTGTTGACCTCCCTGATCATTCCCCTCAATCCCTCCAACACAATAATCTCTTCAAATCCATCTATTTAACAATAATAATAACTACATGGTTACAGTCCCTTTTAAAAAAGCCGAGCACTTGCCCTGGCCGATTTGGCTCAGCGGATAGAGCATCGGCCTACGGTCCAGAGAGACCTGGGTTCGGTTCCCGCTAAGGGCACGTACCTTGGTTGCAGTTTGTCCCCCGCCCTGGTTGGTCGTGTGGGTGGCAGCCTCTCGATGTGTCCCTTTCACGACAATGTTTCTCTCTCTCTCTCTCCCCCTCCAACTCTATCTGAACAAAAAATGGAAAAATGTCCTCGGGTGAGGATAAAAAAGTAAAAATAAAATAAAATAAAAATAAAAAGCCGAGCACTTTCAAAAGTACTTCTTTCCACTACATCCGGATAGTGTAGTTTAACAGAGGATGAAACAGAAGCACAAAGAGGTTAAGTGGCTTGCCTAAGGTCACAAAGCCCATAGTATCGAAATAAAAATCCAGGTGTCTGGATCCAGGGTCTGTGTTCCCAATCCCCCCAGTCTGCTGCCTTTCTTGTCTAGAAAACAGCTTCCTAATTCCTCTTTTTCTCTAGTCATCCCATCAAGAATAGCATTTTGAAATATAGATCTGATCATACTGCCTACTTCCTCCCAAGACTTCTCAATTAAAGTATCCCAATTATCCTTGAGGTAAATTAAGTCCAAAGTTCTCCCTGTGGCTCACAAGACCACACAAGATCTGACCCTGCTGCTGTCTTAAGCCTGGTTGGGCACAGTCACCCTCGTTTGCTGAATTCCGGAAACACTGCCTTTCTGTGACTGGAACTGTCCATGTTTCCTCCTACCTCAGGACCTTGGTCTTTAAACATCTGCAGAAACTTCCCAGAATAATCTTCAGCCCCAAGACTCAGGAGCACTTACCATTGTCCATTGTAGGTTATTAATTATTCGTGAGATGTTTTTCACATCCGCCCTCCCTGCACAAGAACAGGCTGCATCATTTCATTCATTAGGCTCTACAGGTAAAATACTTGGGCTTTCTAATGCCCTAAGCCAAAGTTTGCAACCTGATCAGCTAAAAATGTTATTGGTTCCAAAATACCACAAAGAAAACAATGGAATGAAAAATGAACAAATGTTGATATACAAAACCAGCCAACTGGTCAACTCAATTCCACTCAGCTATTCTACAGCTAGACACAAATGATATTGATCAGGTAAGTGCTTCAGTCTAGGTTAGAGATGTGGTAAGGCGGGGTTTCCAAAGGAAAGAGTCCTTCAAAGACACTAAAAGACAACTGACAGAGTTATGATGTCTGTTTTGCAACCAGGGCATTTGTTATGCCTAACATAGCACCTGGCACATAGTAGGTGCCTATAGCCAACACCGGGAAAGGAGACCCCTTCAGCCATTCCTATCCTCCTTCCCTCACTTGGGTGGAGGGTCCATTCCTCACTTATGCAACTCAAGGGAGGCTCACTGATCTCCAGTTCCCTTGGGGATATCCCATCAAGTTTAAACCAATGCCTTCCAACCCCACTGTTTATCATAATTACCAGGTAAACATTCCAGAAATATAGATGCTAATACCCCAGTCCTAGAAATTCAGATTAAATTGGATCTGATGTGGGATTAGGTATAGGTTTTTAAAAATTCTTCCACCTCATGTGTAGCTGGAGTTGAGGACCCCTGACTGAAATAATCATGACAATTTTATTTCTTTTGCCAGCAATAGAGACAAGAATGAGCAGGGGACTGAGTGCTGATCAATAAAGTATGAAAAGAGATCATTTGGGAGTTTTTAAGATGAAGACCTCTGGAAGTGATGCCTGGAACTGTGGCAGCCATTTTGTGACCATGAGGTTAGCTGGTGTGCAAAGGGAATATATCCCAGACCAAAAAGCATGAAAATAGAAACTGGGCTTTTGATGACATCATTGAGCTGCTGGCTCAACCAAACCCAAATCCCACTCCATCCCACCTGTGAGCTTCATTTTTGGGTGAGATAATGACTTTCTTTTTCTTTACACTACATTAAGTCTCGTTTTCTATTACCTGCTAGCCAAATGCATTCTTTTTAATATATGTTTTTATTGATTTTTAGAGCGAGAGAGGAAGGGAGAAAGAAACATCCATTGGCTGCCTCCTGCACACCCCTTACTGGGGATGGAGCTTGCAACCAGGGCATGTGCTGAGCCATACTGGTCAGGGCACCAAATGCATTTCTACCAAGATAGTACTCAATAAATGTTGAATGAGTGAATGAATGAATGAATACACTGTGCTAAAGAAGGCCAGTAGGGAGCCCTGGAACATAAGCCTGAAGTTGTCAGCTGGCATCAGGCCACACAGGGCCTTGAACACCAGGCTGAGAGTCTGGGACTCTGTCCTTGGAGTGATGAGGAATGAGGGAGAGCTGTGAGCAGGGGAGAGACAGAATCGGCACTAGTGTCAGAAAGACCCCTCTGGAGCCATGTGGGCAATGGCTGGAGGGAAGAAACTGGAGACCGGAAAGGTAGGAGGAGAAAGGGTCCATATGGAAGAAGACAAGACCTGAGCTGGAGCTGTGGGGATGGAGAGGCTGGAGTGGGGCAGAGAGAGTAGGCAGAAAGATGGGGCTGGGGACTGATGACTATGGGAGGAAATGAGGGACAGCACCTGGGATCTAGTCCAGTGATCAGGTTGGCGATGGGCCCATTAGAAGATGAGAAGCAAGGAGGAGGAATGATTCGGGGGGAAGATGCTGAGCTCAGTGTGGGAGACAAGAAGAGTGGGAGAACCAGAGCAGGATGTCTAGGGGAATAATGGCCTCAGAAGAGTAGTTAAGGTCCCAGAGGTTCATGGGAAATGTAGTTCTGGGTTCAGAATATTGTCCAGGGAAATTCAGAGGCTCATGGGAAATGTAGTGTGAACTCCAAAGAATACTGCTCAGGAATCTGGTCGACCTAAGAGTCTGGGTGGTTCTCCCTTTGGAAGGCCAGTGACTCACTTGAGGCCACACTGGAGGCCAGGGCTACCACACAATACATGAAGAAAATCCCACACACACACACATACACACACACACACACTTACACACAAACACACAGACAGACAGGGCTCAGTACCTGCTTCCCTGTGCATGCTGGGGGTGCCCCGGGTGGAGCAGCACAGGGGCTCCACCTCTTGCTGCATCCTGGGAAGGTGGGTGGGGGATGTCTCAGGAGGGTGGGAAGAAGATCTCTGACTGGGCCACCCACCCCAGCTCTTTCTCCCCACTGCTGCCTCCTCTTCCTTTTTGAAGCCCCGGGGCACACATGCAGAAGAACCGGAAGGCTGAGATCCCGTCGAGATCCAGGTTCCTCTAACATCGGGGAGCCCCTGTGTGCCCCAATTTCTTCTTTCCCACTTTCCTGTTTCTTCCTCTATCTCTCCCTGTCTCCTGGAGTCTCTTCCCCCACCCCTCCCTCTCCCTCTCTCCTCCTCATTCTCTCCCCATCTCTCTACTCCCCTTCCTCTCTCCCTCTCTCCCAATCTTGTTCCCCTGATTTCTCCTACTCTCTCTCCCCATCTCTCCTCCACTCTTTCCCTTGATTTCTCTGCCCCCCACCTCCCCACTTCTTTCCCCCTCCCTGGTTCCATCTCCTCTATCAGTTTTCCCAACATCTCCCCCACCCCCTGTCCCTCCCTCTATTCATAGTTGTCTGCCTCTCTCTGACCCCATCACCCTCTCTCTGTGTCCCTACCTCTATCCCCATCTCCTCCCAGTCTCCACTCTCCATCTCTCCCCATCTCTCCTCTCTCATGGCTGCCTCTGCCCCGCCTCTTGGCTCCTCTCCCCTCTGTCAACCCCCTTGTGTTCCCACTTGCCCTCCGCTCATCCCTGTCTCAGCAGGAACTGCTTAAACAGTCAAGACTCAAACGGAAACTGGATTCTATATGGGGGAGGGAAAAGTGAGCAGGGGGCTTGGTTGCCATGGTACCTACAGAAGGAGGGGGAGGGGCTGGGGACTCTGACTTCTGGGTCTGAGGGAGGAAGGGGGCTGGGGGCCTGGATTCCTGGCTTTGGGGGCTTCTGGGTCCCAAGTGAAAAGGTCTAACCACCTAGGCATCCCTTCCTTTGTGTCTGCAGAGCTCACGGCAGAAACTGTGCCAGAGGAAGCTACACTTTCTTAGTTCTTCTGTCTGCCCTCCCAGCCTGTCTTTGCACCTGTATCGCCCGTTCTCTTCTCTCCACTTTCAGATGGTCTCCGTCTTGACTGCCCATTCATCCTGCTTGATAAGCATCAGTCTCCTGTTTCTTTCAGTAGTAGCACCTTGATCTTCTGAGTGATTTGTTCAGGGATGACCTTAGAAATCAATCAAGGAGCCCTGCTGGTATGGCTCAGTGGTTGAGTGTCGACCCATGCATTCCCCAAGAGGTCTCTGGTTCGATTCCCGGCCAGGGCACATGTCCAAGTTGTGAGCCCAATCCCCAGTGGGGGGCATGCAGGAGGCAACCAATGGATGTTCTCTCTCATCGATGTCTCTCTCTCTCTCCCCGTCTCCCTTCCTCTCTCTCTAAAATCAATAAAGAAAAAAAATTTTTTTTAATCAATCAAGGAAGCAGAGTCAACTCTTGGACTTTTGCTGAACTTGTTATTAAAGAGGATCTTAGTTTCCCCACTGAGGTTGCCAGGCTGGCCGGAGTCTAGGCTGGAGCTGTGGGGAGCCATCACAGAGCAAAGCAGACACAAGGATGCAGTCAGATTCCTGATGATGATTGGGGTTCCTGGATCCAGCCATGCCTGAAACTCGCATCCACACAATTAATTCCCCATTAGGCTTAGGTCATTTGTGTTTCTGTCATTGGCAATGAGCAGTCTAGACTTGAATAGACTCATTTCCAGACTCAGTTCCTCTGTGGTCCTGAATCCCTTTCCACTTCTTCAGGTATTTGTCTCCCGACCCCAGGTACACCTTGCTCCCAGAGCCCATCCATCCATCCCCAGACTCTATCCCTTCTGCCTCCTGACACTGCTTCCTCTCCTCTTCATTCCTGTGGCCAGAACAGCCCCTCAGGCCCCCCCCTCTCCCATCTGGACCCTCTCCCCAGCCTCCTCCTTGCCCCCCCCATCCCCATTCCTCTCCCCAGGGGTCCAGAGGGATCTCTCTGCACCCAGAGCTGCCCCAGGACTCCCTTGCTCACAGCCCTCCCACAGCTCCCAGCTCCCCTGGAAACACTTCAGCCCCTCAGCCAGGTGTTCGAGACCCACATGATCTGGTCCCGCCCTCCTCTCCCCCCTCCCCGCTTTAAACACTCTCCAGTCACCTTTCATTCATTATTTTATTTAACAAATGTTTCCCAGCCCACTTCTCTGTCCATTCCCCACATGCTGTGCCTTCTAGAATGCCCTTCGAGACTCCACCTTTCCCAGTGTCCAAATACTCTCATCCTTTTATTTTATTTTATTTATTTATTTATTTTTTTATCCTCACCCGAGGACATTTTTCCATTGTTCAGATAGAGCGGGAGGGAGAGAGAGAGAGAGAAACATCGACGTGAAAGGGACACATCGAGTGGCTGCCACCCGCACGACCAACCAGGGCCGGGAACAAACTGCAACCGAGGTACATGCCCTTAGCGGGAACCGAACCCGGGTCTCTCTGGACCGCGGGCTGACGCTCCAACCGCTGAGCCAAACCGGCCAGGGCCAAATACTCTCATCCTTTTAATAAGAAGCTCAAATGCTCCCTCCTCCAGGAAGTCCTTCTTGGACTCCTCATCTTCCCAGTTGTGTTCTCTGTATTCTTCCTCTGCATGTTCTTTTTTTTTTTTTTAAATTAATACAGCCCTGGCCAGTTTGGCTCAGCGGTTAGAGCGTCAGCCTGCGGTCCGGAGAGACCCGGGTTCGGTCCCCGCTAAGGGCACGTATCTCGGTTGCAGTTTGTCCCTGGCCCTGGTTGGTCGTGCGGGTGGCAGCCACTCGATGTGTCCCTTTCACGTCGATGTTTCTCTCTCTCTCTCCCTTCCCCTCTCTCCCTCCCACTTCATCTGTACAAAAAAAAATGGAAAAATGTCCTCGGGTGAGGATAAAAAAAAAATTAATACATGGCTTTATTATTTTTTTATTGATTTTTTTTCTTTTCATCCTCACCTGAGGACATTTTTCTATTTTTCCATTGAGAGAGAGAGAGAAACATCGACATGAAAGGGACACATCGAGTGGCTGCCACCTGCACAACCCAACCAGGGCTGGGAACAAACTGCAACCGAGGTACATGCCCTTAGCAAGAACCGAACCCAGGTCTCTCAGGACCACAGGCCAACGCTCTAACTGCTGAGCCAAACCGGCCAGGGCTCTTTATTGATTTTTAAAGAGAGAGGAAGGGAGAAAGAGAGAGAGATAGAAACATTGATGAGAGAGAACATCAACTGGTCGCCTCCGGCATGCCTCCAACTGGGGATTTGGCCCACAACGTGGGCATGTGTCCTGACTGGGAATTGAACCGGCGACCTCTTCGTGCATGGGTTGATGCTCAACCAGTGAGCCACACTGGCCGGGCTCTGCATGTTCTTTATCTCCTCCTTCCCCAGACCTCTGAACACTGTCCACTGTGGGATTTGAACTTGTGTCTGCCTCCCCCACCAGACCAACAGTTCTTAACTTCTCTATGGCTCTCCAGCATCACCTCCCTCAGGAAAGTGCAGACTGCATATGTTGAGTGAATAAAAGAATGGCTATTGCCCTCTCTCCCTGTGACCCACACTCAGTAGCCCCAACCACGTCTTCCCTGTCCCTTCTGGTCCTCCTGAGGCTGCTGGAACATGGACTCTGAGTCAACAAACCAGGACTGAATGCCATGTCCAGGCTGTGCAACCTTGGGCAAATGTCTTCTCCTCTCTGAGCCTAGCTCTAGCTGCCTCTTCTGAAGCTCTTTCTTCCCTCCTTGGAGCGGTTTCTCTCTCTCCCTCCCTCTCTGCCTCCCTCCTTCTAACGTCTGCATCTCTAGGTTTCCCTCCGGGTGTCTCCATTTCTCTCTCTGTGTCTTCACTTTTCTTCCTCTCTGTCTGTCTGTCTTTGGAACCCTGCCTCATCTCGCTCTGTGTCTGAATTTGAATTACTATTTCACGTATCTCTATTTTATATCTTTCTGTGTCTGTCTCTGTACCTTTCTGGGTGTCTCTGTCTGTGTGTGTGTTCGTCTCCATTGCTCTGTTTCTCCATCTCTGTTTCTCTGCATCTATCTATCTCCTCCCCTGTCCCTCTGCCTTAGCCCCACCTGCCTCCCGCTGTCACTCACCTCATCTCTGTCAGGCCATATCTGTCCCACTCCCTGGCCTGGCTTGCAGCCTGGGACACAACTCCCTGAATCAGCATTTTCCTCCTATTCCAGAAATCATATTAGAGCCGCAGTGGGGGGTGGGGCTGTGGTAGCCCAGTCCGAGGGTTTGCCTCCCTCCATCTTCATCCGCACAGGCCCCGTGTTTGGCCTGCCTCTCTTCCCGGTGGTTGTTCTCTCCAGGGGCAGCACCAGGAGGAGCGGTGACTGTGTTTACACACACGTGTGCCTGTCTCTGGGTGTGTGTCTGCGTGTATTTCCAGGCATATTTGTGTGTGAATTTGTAGGTATTTGTGCAAACTCATTCATTCACTCATGCATCCATTTATCCAACTGTCCACTCATCTGTTCATCCATCAATCCTTCCTTCCATCCATCCATTCATCCATCCATCCATCCATCCATGCATCCATCCATCCATCCAAACTTCCATCCATTCACCCATCCATCCATCCATCCATCCATCCAAACTTCCATCCATCTATTCATTCTTCCTTTCTTCCTTCCATCTATTTATCCCTGTCTTTCCATCCATCCATCTGTTCATCCATCCATCCACCATCATTGCTTCCATCCACCCATTTGTTCATCCATCCACTCATCCATCCATCCATCCATTCTTCCACCCACCCCTCTATTTATCCATTTATTTGTTCATTTATTTATTCATTCAACTAACCAATATTTATCGAGTGCCTCCTGCGTGCCAGGCACCGTGTCAGACAGCGGGGACACAGCTATAAACAAAGTACAGTGCTGCCCCCATGTGCCCGGCAGTCCCTCTCAATGAGCCAAACTCCTTCCTGCCTCAGGCCTTGCACAGGCTGTTCTCCCTGTAGCTGTTCCCCTCCCCCCACTCCATCTTCACCTGACTCATGCCTACTCACCCTTCCAAGCTCAGTGCAGGTGTCACTTGCTCCATGACCTCCTCCCGACACTCACAGCACCCTGCACTTTCCATCATCTTCCCTGCTGGGGTTTTTGTCTTCTCTGTTCCCAGCTGCATCCCTGGT